GATATGCCTCAGCAAATAGCCGCTCCACTATTCTGCTTGCAGCCTACTTGATGCTAATTTCTTGCTTGGCTTACATTTCGACCCTGAAGATGGAGGCGATGCTCCTCTGAAATGTCATTTAACTGTCACTAAACTACACGGCGTATATTCCAGATGATATAACTCTTCGTTATATAAACATGTTAAAATAAAGTAATATATATCTATTAATTTTATTTTATATCTGTTATGTTACATATTGTCTCGATTTAGGGTGTGACTATAGACGGGGTTTGAATTGATGACTCGATTTATTGACCACTTTACTACACGACTCATAAGTACAAGTAATCACAGCGCCACCACTAATTTCCACAAGTCACAAATCGCCACAGCACCCACTAAACCTTTTCCAACCTACTGTGTCTTCACGAGCCGTTCCTTGGCAACGACTTCAAACAGTAGAGATTCTTCAGTTACACGCGCTTACACCATTCCCGACTGGCTACCATCTCACAGCTAAACTAAGCTCAGAGTCAGAGCTACTTTACGACTGGCGGTTTAACTCCAATCAGTTCGTCTTGGCGCCAAGCCCTTTGAGGCACACGACCAGGTTTTTTTTAACTGAACCCTTGCGGTCATAGTCCTTATGTAACGTTCTCTCTGACGTGAGGACGAGTGTGTAATATACAATTGCTGATGGCCCTTGCCAGCGCAGTCATTCTTGGGTCCCAATCCCGCGGGACTCTTGACCAAATTTTACTCTCTAAAAATCGAGACTCCCAAACCTGGAGGGCCAGATCCCCGTATTTATAATCCCTAGAGACAGGGTGTCCTAGTTATACTGCCAGGCATTGGGTTCCTTTTTCGTCGCCTCATAGGGCTCGCAGGGCTACAGTGGCGGTATTAGAACCCGCTTCCACACAGGGTTGCCACTGACTCTCAACCCACTCTTTCCCTTGTTTATAACATCTCAGCACGGACCACAAAGAAAGACCCCGTTCCCATTTCTATAGTCCAAATATTGCATTGTTAAGAATCTGCTGCCTAGCAATGGGAAAGTGTTTACTGAGCCGTTGCCCAGAACGGGTCTCGTATATCCGCCCATCTCGCGATCATTGGATAGCAACGGCTCTACACGCCACGACATTTACTCTGTGAATGTAAGATAGATAAAGATTGTCTCATGTGAATAATAACAATAAGAAAATGTCCAGCTCTTGCCTCAGGCAAGACTCACTGTTTCGGTTAAAAAGAACATTTGGTAAATAATGTTTATTGTGAGAATCATATATAAAACATTTCGTTTAGTGAGAGAAATGTAGAGACCGCCTCTTGGTCTAGTGGTCAGAGTTCGTGGCTACAGATCCAGAGATCCCGTGTTCCATTCCAGGCCCTACAAAATTTTTTGAAAAGTAGTAGGTATGGAACGGGATCCACTCAGCCTCATGAGGATAATTGAGGAGTTATTGCAAGGAAATAGCTGCTCCGGTCTAGAAAATCGAGATTAACGGCCGTGGGGTTTCGTTGCGCTGACCACGCGACACTCTCTATCCGCTAAAGTTGGCACTAACTTCGCCGACAAGCGGCGGTCCCTCGGTCGATATATTTCGCTTGCGGACTACAAGTCAGGGAATTTGTTTTTTGTTTGAGAGAAATGTAGAATCATTTCACACTAAAACTAGTGGTACATATAGTAAACATCGTGTTGAAATGGTTAATCCATTACTATCCATGTAGGAAACACGAGTTCGGAAATGTGCCAGTACGTAAGTTACATGACGTCAGTCACTGAAATGCGAGAAATGTGTCGTGTTTCGAGGTCAGGACCATTTCATTGCCTCCGCTACATATTTCTTCGTGTCACCTCTGTAACGTACAAAGTATATGGTAAGAATGAGACTTCATAACTTGGTCGTTGACAAATTTATTTTCTCCTTTTGAGAAGAAGTAAACATCTGTTGAAATTGAATCCGAAATAAACTATGTCTATTATCATTTCGTGAAGATATTCGTACGTAAGCCATAAATCGATTCCGACTTCAATAGGACTTGAGGAAAATAATTTGATGGTCACATTAATTTTCCTTTTGAGTCAACAAAATGAGGTTTAGTGTGCCACTTATTCATGTTTAGAAGAGACAAATGACTACGCCTTTTTGTGTCAGTACACTCCCCGAAGTAATTGTCGTGAAAGCCCAAGGTCTGGCGAACATAAGGCATATATTGCTTAACATAAATGCTGTGATTGTTACAAGCTACACGACAGGTAACAACTATAATCCGTGAGAAATGACTGACGATGAAGTCAAACACAAATAGTGTCTCATCGCAACGCGCTGAAAGCTGCTGAATGCATGTGCCAATATCTATAAGACAAGTGACGGTCATATCAGTTTCTTAGATGAAAGCCATGATATTCCGAGTCTAGCACAGATGTAATAGTCGTCAAATATTGTGCTCTTCTCCCTTAAAATACTACGCTGAACTCCTTATGAAACTAGCTATTGGAATTGTTTATTGATACGGTACATTTTAGTACACCTACTTCGACTTAATTGTCGACCTACATGCTCAGTGTACAACGTTTTTCGTTGTCAGAAAGTGATACCAAGAGGTGTAAAAGAACATCATACATTTAAAATTTTATTAATGAGCTTGATTGCATGGCAACCAAAATTTCAAATGCTTGACAATATTTCAAGATAGACGCGTCACCAGAAATTTGATTGCAATATTATAGTAATTGAACATGTTTTTGTCATGGGAAGGATTCCGTAAAGATATCTGTCGAAACCACTGGTAAATATTTCGTTTCCATTGTTTTTTGAGTAATTTTTATATTCAGAGTTACTTTACGACGGACGTCTTGCCGCCAGTCAGCTCGTCTTGACGACAAGCCCCTCGAGACTCACGACCAACGATCTTTTCAACTGATATAACATATTCTTTGACGAGAGGGTGGGGGTGTTGTTTACAATTGTTGAGTCTCGCCAGCGTCGTTATTCTGGGGTCTGAGTCCCACGGGACTCAAGACCATATTTTACTGTCTCAGATTCGAGACTTCCCCAGCCTGGAGGGCCAGGTCCCATATTTATATCTTCCAGGAACAGGGTGGCCCTATTATACCACCAAGCACTGCGTTTCCTTTCCTTCGCCTCCTACGACTCGCAGGGCTGCGGTGGAAGTATTCGAACCCGCCTCTAACTGCTATACACATAACATAATATTCCTGTTTACTGAGCATGCCATAGAATGGTGACCTGTGATCCGATTTTTGTATTCAGAAGGTGTGGAAACTCAGAGGCGTGTCGCCTTGGATATGCAATGACAAAGAATTGACACGTGTTCACTCTGAGCCGGCAAGCATCAGTCGCCGTAAGGTAGCGTTCCTGCAACATATTCTCTGGCCGTATGGGATTTTGTTCGTGAAATTAAAGCAAGGCCGGATGCACAGTTCCGGAGATAGTGGGACAGTCAAAATATGGATGCCACTATCGGTGACGTCAAGGTTAGTTCGTTACTTCTTTTTTTAGCCTACTTTCCTAATTTTGAAACAAGTTCTGGGAAGAACTAATAGCCTACTTTTTTGACACGACACGGGCCATATAAAAATGACGCGTCCAAGCAATCTTCTATTGTGGCGTGTGTATTCGTTGCCACGTTGAAGTTTTTACCGAGCTGTTGCCTAGCAACGATATGGGGATACAAATACAGATACACAGACTGATGGGAGGGGCTCAGGTGCCATGATATATATATCTTATTAGTTCAGGCATTCAAAAGTTGATAGAGGTGATACCCAGAAGCACAGACAGCATGGAGATCTCATAAGCTTGTTTTATTTTTTCAAAATTAGAAACTAGGCAATAAAAATACTAATATATAAGGACTGTGTGCTTATTTTGTTAAAAATTACAATAATTTGCCTCTTTAGTTTTGTTCCTATTTTCGTATTTACAATGATTCATGTATTTCCGTTGCTACGGAACAGAGAGAGTTTTGTCTGGGAAAGGCCTGCATTAAAAATCTCAGTAGTCTGATTGGACATAGAGGGCAAACGAAGAAAATTTGCTGACAGGTTTCGAAAATAGACCTATTTGTATACAATTCAAGAAGAATGTGAAACATAATTCCATCACTTCACGCCAAGTCCTCTGCAAAATTCCTTATCCAGTGAACAACATATTGCTTCATACTCAAGTTTACTCGTCACGATGAAGTATTGGTAGGTACAGTTTTGTTGACATTTGTGTATTTACGATTCTTCGCGTTCTCTTATGGACATGCGGTTCCTTCATCTCTTGAAAAATGCCAAGTGCACAGCGTTACCTCTAGACAACCTGTTCGATTGCACTAGTTCCGCAGTAAACTAAATATCTCTGGTGGTGGTGATAGTAGCAAGTACAGTACTATATGAAGAAAAGAGACAGTTTAAAGGGAGTCGCCGTTCAGAGAGTACTTGAGGGCCAAAGCCGAAGAATCTCCATCGTTAGAAGCCGTTACCAAGCAACGGCTTGTGAAGACACAGTAGGCTGGAAAATGTTTAGCTGGTGATGTGGTGATTTGTAAAGTAAGGAGATTAGCAGTGGAGCTGTAATTACTTGTATCTCCGAGTCGTGAGTATAAGTGGTTAGTAAATACTCGTACAATATCCAATCCAAAACACTCCACACGTGACAGTATCAACACTCCATTTTGTTTTCGGTCCGTGATGGCTTCTGAAATTGCGTGTCAACCTGCTCTTCAAGTTTATTCTGTATAAGCTGTGGTACTTAGACTGGAATACATAAAGAACAGACGCATAACGTCGAGCAACGCTACCGCCATTTTGTGCATTCATCATTTAATTTCTGGCACGGCAATAGCACACATACACGAAGTACTGAAAAATCATCAAGCTCCTCTTATCGGACAGGTTCTAAACGTCCGCCATTATAACCGAAACAGCAGGACAGCGGAAGCGTAGAGGGCTGCAATGTGGTGACATTCTCGGACGTACAGTGTAAAAGTTTACTTACTCTGAGCGTTGAAATTGGCGGTTGGGTCCGGAACGGCGTACTGTGGAGGGAACGCCGACTGCAAAGACATGGAATTGAAAGCGTTCAGCTGCTGGCTGTTCAGTTGTTTCCGCAGACGAGCCCGTCGGTTGCTGAACCACACCTGAACTCGAGCTTCTGTCAGTTTCGTTCTGTGAAGGAAGACAACGGCACTCAGCAAACTTCGTCCTAGTGTTGGCGATTTTGTACGCTAACAGTTCCTATTAGTATGTTTGGCTGGTGACACGAGTGCCCCTAGATGGGGGGGGGGGACCACAAAATTTGCTTCCAAACTTGCGTTTAACGATATTTTTACCATTCGGCCAGATTTGTGAGTCTCTGTACTGAAACACAGGTGGTGATATATTTAAGACCAACCTTAATTTTGTGCTAATATTTTGTACATTTCCATATCGTTTCAAATTTTATTTTCTTACAAAATATCCGAGGGAGAGGGAGATGTCCTGGTTGCTCTTCCCCTCCCAACTTTTTGGTGCCCAAGTTAGCCGGTCAGCCTGTGATGGATCTTTTGTATTTTCAATAACATATTGTCTGCTTACATAAATAGGAGTCCTTGAGAACCCAAAAATTGCTGAGATTTTCAAGAAATGCCTCGATTTTATCAAACCTAAAGGGCCATTACCTTGTTCAAAAGAGCCCACCACTGGTCCTTATCCTGAGCCGGATAAGTTTCGTCCACACCCCCACAGTTTTCCAACTAAGATTTCGCATGAATTCATCTGCCCCATTAAGTTCTACATGCTTCTCCTGCCTGATCCCACCTATAATATTTGATGAAGATTACAATTTATTAAATTTCTACTGATGCTGTTTTCTTATTATTGCTTTTACTCCTTCTTGTTTTTTCCCTTGGCGCTACAGCCCCAGTGGGCCTAGGCCTACCTCCATGAACTTCTCCGTTCACTTCGGTTTTTCTAGATCTTACACATACGGTAGGACTCTTTGGGCGGGTGATCAGCTCGTCGCAAGGCCTCTACCTGTACACAAACACAGAAAAACGCACACACACAAACTAAACATCCATGCCCTCAGTGGGATTCGAACCCACGATCCCGGTTTCCAAGCGAGCGGAGACAGTACATGCCTTAGACCGCTCGGCTACCGTGACCGGCCCCCTTCCTCTTGGGTCCAAACATTCTCCACAGTTCCCTGTTCTCAGACGCCTCAATTTGTGTTCTTCATTCAAGGTGAAAGGCCAAATTTCATACACGTAGTAAATGAAGAGTTCTATCTTCTGAGTTGAAACGCCATGTAGTCCGCTTAAAGCCAAACTATATTTCGGACGAATTTATTGCCTCCGTCTTGCTGCTTTCACACAGGATTCTCCCTTAGCTTATCCTTCAACCTTGAAGATGGAGCCTTTCCATTTGTTTTCACTCTTATTTCTTGCTTGACTTATTATTAGACCCTGAAGATGGAGGCGAAATGTTTCTCCGAAATATCTGTTGAGCTTCAACGGATTACAATGCATTATATCCCACCGCTGTGATAAACCTCAAATCCCACCCGAAAAACACAATCATGTTAGTTTACTGTATAATGTAAAACTATCCCTGTAACACGTGGAGGCCCATAGGTTTGTGAGACGTCGAGGCTTCCACATTTTCTAGACAATCGGCTCACAGATGGCAGTGACGTCAGCCCTACGCGCCTACCTACCCACGAACGTTCCAAGAATATTCCTGGTACTCATTTCTGTTAGAGGCTGAGTCGATCCCAGGGCCATAGTGCGGCTGGAAGGATTAGGTAAATTGGCAAAAAAAAATCCACCAAATCGGGACTCGAACCCGCGACCTTCCGACTTGCAGCACAGCTGCGCTACGGCGTATGAACTGAGTATGATTTGTGCAGTCTTTCGAGAACAGTGCAACAAACAGTTCACAGTTGAAGGCAACGAACCCATCACATTCGTGATACGGCAACCCGCAAGGACACTTGTCTCTCGCTTTAAAGCAACCAGTCACTTGGGAAATAGGAAAAGAAAGAGGTCCTTACAATTGTTCAAGTACGTTCCTCCAGATCCATTCGGTTTTACTTGAGTTTCTAAAGTAGAGCTGTGAATCAGCGGTTTCTGAATACTCGGCAGACACTTGCTTCTCCACTGGCTGACCTCTTCAGTTCACATGCATTTGGCGCAAGAATGTTATAGCTCCATTTCTACACACTTGTAGAAACGAAGTAATTTGTGGAAAACTTGCATTTAAATTCCTTTGGAAGATAAGTAAAAAATTGCTGTCGCTGTATGTACCATAAGCACTTTACACGACATGCGCTAAATGATGGCACAATTGCAGGCCGAAATCCTGATTTATGTTCGGGTCTCTTGACTCCGAAATTACTTAACATTTTCTTGTGAAAGGCCTACTTAATATTAGGGATGTAAGGGAGCACTCGTTAGCGTAGTTGGTTGAGGCACTATGTTACAAGCCGCAACGTAGCGGCTTCAATTCCCGATGAGGTCATTAAATTTTTCAATTCACCTAATCCTTCCAGCCGCATTATGGCTCTGAAGTCGACTCAGCCTCTAACAGAAATTAGTATCAGGAATCTTCCTGGAAGGTAAAAGGCGGCCGGCGCGTAAGGCTGGCAACTTCAACCCCGTCTGTGGGCCGACTTTCTAGAAAATGTGGGAGCCTCGACGTCTCACAAGCGTATGGGCCTCCACGGCGTGTTACAGGGATACCTTTACTTTTACAAAGACGAGTAACTCTTGCTGTTGTGCGACGTTGCATCAAGCTAGATTGTGATCAGCTTTAAAGCAGGAGGTTTGAATGTAAGAGGGGTAGGCCTCCTCGGCTCTTGCACCGCGACCTACAGTGGTCTGTTGTGCTTAAGCAGGAGGTTTGCTTTTGTGCCCTTGCACCGCGACCTACAGTGGTCTATTGTGCCTAAGCAGGAGGTTTGCTTTTGTAAAGATAAATAAATATAAAGACTCGAACATGCTGATCCGTCGGTAACAATCTCGACTTGTATTAAGAAGGTACAGCGTTCGAATCTCAACCTGGTTACCGGTGATCGTGGGGGGGGGGATTCCGTAGTTTTTTCACTTCGTCTAGGTAATTGCCTGGATGTAACCTCGATTAGGTCATGATAGTTTCCTTCAAATTCAGGCACAATAGTACCATTGTTCGCTCTATAATGTAGATCAATGATTCCCAATCAGTGTACTGCGAAATTTTGCCAATTAAGCAAATAATTATTATTATTCGCATAGTGGGGTGTGGAGTCCAGCTGGGTCCACTCGGAACGGCGGCCACTGATTGGCCTATTGTAGCCTGCTCCGGGTGATAATGATGATGGAGAATTTGGTGGAAGGTAGATTGGCAGGGGAAACCGAAGTACTCGGAGAAAACCTGCCCCAGCGCCACTTTGTCTACCACAAATCCCACTTCACCAAACCCGGGCCGCCGCGGTGGGAAGCCTGCGACTAATCGCTTGAGCTATGGCGCGGCCAATAAGCTGCGAGGCTTAGAGGAGATTAATGATTTCATATAATAAAATGAAGATGAAATCTTTGCTAAGCTGAGCGGGCACATTTACATAAATTTTGGAATCCCATGCATTTGCATAAATTTTTTAGACTTACTTTTTTAACAAAATAACAAATTTATGTTTGCGATAATATTATATTTTGAACAATAAACGACGTTATTTAAGAAATGGGCGTACTTTTATTACAACTATAATTCTCTGTTCTAATTGTGCTATGAAGCGAAAAATAACGGATATCCCAAATGTGGGGCGAACACCAGAAATTGGAGAGGTGCTGTTTCCTATACTAATAGCCTCCTTAAATAATCCACACAGAATAGAAAAGCGAAAGGCGCATGGAAACAGCAAAAGGAGATGCATTCCGAATCTATTTTTAACAAATCGTATCACAAATTTCCATTCCCGATATAAATTTACGCGAATGTTTGTTTAATACGACTGAACTGTTTTGCGACAGCATATCTTGTGATTGTCACCGTAAAATCAAGATCTCCCCCCCCCGGGGGCCCACCACAAACCGAGATAGAACCCGCAGATTTTACTGAGACGTTTACTTCTCTAAAATCACGAAGTTATTTTGTGTATTAAATATTATAAGAAATGATTACAAAAAGAGAAATACTTATCGTAATTTAAATTTTTTGTTACTGATAGGGACCTCCACAATTTCATTGCCTCAGGACCCCCAAACTGTAAATCCGGCGTTGTGGAGTGCATATAGGTTATTGGTGGGAAAATTGGAAGGAAGGAAATCACTGGGAAGACCAAGACGTAGTTGAGTGGATATTAATAAAATGGATCTTAGATAGGATGGGATGGATTGGATTGATCCGGCTCAGGATAGGGACCAGTGGAGGGCTCTTGTGAACACGGTAATGAACATTCGAGTTCCATAAAATGCTGGGAAATTCTTGTGTAGCTGCAGAATTGGCGGCTTCTCAAGAAGGGCTGAGTTCCATGAGTGAGTGAGATTTTTTGGAGCTAAGCCCTTTTCGCACCAAGCCGTTCACTTGCTAAAACTTGACATGTAACAAATGGTTTACATCTTATGCTATTGTGTTTGTTCATAATATCATATTCTGTGATCTACAGCACTCAGCCTCGACAAGTTTACACTCTTTTCCAATCTTCTTTCATTTATTGTTATCTCTCAGTTTACAAAGCGAGAACACCCGTGAGATTTAGGCATTACGTTCCAAATTTGGCACCCCTGAGAGTTAATTCTGCATTGCGGCCAACTGAATAATAACAAAATCCGACAGTAACTTTCATGTTTCATTCAAACTGTGATTCCAAAAGATGAATTTACAGCCAGTATATTTTAGAACATGAGACGATCACGGTAGCCGCGTGCCCTAAGGCATGAACAGTCTTCGACCGCTGGAACACTGGGATCGTGGGTTCGAATCCCACTCAAGGCATGGATGTCTCTGTCCGTTTATTCTGCTTTGTGTTGTCCTGTGTGTATATAGCGGCCTTGCGACTGGCTGATCCCCCGTCAAGGAGTCCTACCGACTGTGTAAAAGATCGAGACTCTGAAAGAGCAGCCAAGGTCCAACAGAGAGCTGTAGAGCCATGGATAGGCAGACAGAGAGACGGACAAATAAGTAGGTTGGTAGATATTTTAGAATATAAGTGCCGGATTTATTGAACAAATGTTATCGTTAATGTAACCCGTCCTATTGCAATTTGATGTTACTGCACTGTTGTCCGTTAGGATGACTTGGAGAGAGATGCTGGGTTGCTCCTCGGATACAAGAATGTCATCTCGGGGTCTGAATGAGTACTGTTGCGCAGATGCTACGCGATATATGGTGACAGTTTTTCACGGTTGTAATTATTTACATTTAAGAAAATTTTGAAATTGTTTGTTGCTTCAGTACCTAAGTATTTAATTCGGCAATGGGGTTCTCCCTTACTTTCTGCACAGAATCCATGTATAATCTTCAACACATAAGATACTTCTCGTCACATTCCAGAATTTGTTGTCAATTTTCTTTGTTTACTTGTTGATTGTAATAAACTCCGCCTTGCTGGTCGACTGACTCTTTGGGACCTCCGGAATTTTTACGGAGGAATATAATTTCTGTGGGGTCACACTGTAGCGTAGTTGGTTGAGGCACTACATCACAAGTCGGAAGGTCACGGGTTCGATTGGATTTTTCAATTGACGTAATTCTTGAAACCGCATTTTGTCACTGGGATCGACTTAGCCTCCAAAAGAAATGGATAACATGAAACTTCTTGGGGGCGTAAAGGATGGCCGTCACGCAAGGCTGACGACCTCACCGCCATCTATGAGCCGATTTTCTAGAAAATGTGAGAACTTTGACGTCTCACAGCCCTATGGGCCTCCAAGGCCTGTTACAGGGATAGCTTTAATTTTTATCTTTTTTTGTAATATTTCAGTTGACTAGACTGAACGATTAATCCTACGCAACAGTGCATTAGAGGTCTTACTATTGCAACCAGTGCTAACTTGGTCAAATTTGGTTCTAGCCACTCAGTTCATTACTATAGTTATCAAGACGAGATTCGAAATGCGGTTTTCTAGCAGGAACACTGTCCTGATGTTCTGCGTTTGTCTCTACGCATAACATGGTTATAATTTTTTCTGAGCGGATTGTCATTAATCAGTCCCTTGTCTTATTTCTATAGTTAAAAGTTAACCATTTGTTTTTATTTATTTCCATGGCGATGAATGTATAAGGGGTGGGCCTTCTCGGCCCTTGCACCGCGGCCTACAGACGTCTCTTGTGCTTTTCCATGGCTATACTAATTGTGTTATTGTAAAAAGAACTTATTTACGTTTCTATTCCGAAAAATATTAAGAACATTTAGATGTTACTGTCATTGTTTAATAGCAAACATATCCATACAGAAGAAAATAATATTTCTAAACGAGAAATGTCCTTCTTTAATTAAGGTGTTAAATTTCACATTTTGTTGTCTTAATGTGTAGATTATAAAAATCATTGCTTATTCATCTCTCTCGCTTATAGACATTTTTTATATATAAACTATTCATGAGAGAACCAAGTTGAATATCTGCCTAAGACAAATGGATTCAAGTAGGATTTCAATATCAGTTAAGCCTAATTATATATATACTTTGTTAAATGTATGCCCATGTACATATACTGATATTTTTTTTCAAGCAGACGTTACATATCTTCTGTGAAATACACGTATATTATTATTCAAAGATTCTTGAATTTCGGCAATATTTTCTAAACATACATAATATATTCTGTAAGTATATAATAGACTGTGTGTTTCAGATTTTTGTTTCTGTACATTACTGTACAATTACTTTACTTACAGACAAACTTGTATGCCAATTACTAAAGTAAATTGTGAGCTGTTCTTTACTTCCTTGTCCAACAAACAGATATTCATAACAGTCTAAAGAATTTTTTTTTTTCGCACGCTATTGTACATAATCTGCAGAAATAAATGTGTGTTCAATAAGTACTGGCTCGAGAATGAGTTGTGTCCAGTGGCATAATTCATATACTTTTTCTGTTGACTTAGGTATCATTTTAATTTTTGTATTGGGGTTTTACTCAGGTCTGTCTTGTAGAGTTGGGACGGTGTATCTTTTCAGTTTGTGTGTAGTTTCACTACTTTCCGGTAGGTTCACTGCTAGTGTATTAATGTGGTTTTATAATTTCCTTAAGTATTTGTTATTCCAGTTTTTGTTTCACTGAGCACTGTGTTCATTTGTAGATCTGCATGGATCCTGTGGTTGTTTATGTACCGAGGTGCGTTCAGAATGGATTGGAGCGTCTTGGATTGAAAGCGCTGGAGGATTTCGATGTAGGAACTGGAGGATGTCCCCCGTGTAGCTGAATTCCATAGGTCCATATGGGTTTAAGTATTGCTTTGATTAGGAGGAGTTAATTTCAAAATTTATTTGAGTTATAACTAAGCTTTATAAACGCTGTTCAGTTACGTGAAGGCACGAATTTGCAGTGCCACTTACTTCTGGGCTAGTTCCTCGCGGGTGTAAACGTCCGGGTACTGTGTCCTCTGGAAAGCCCGCTCCAGCTCCTCCAGCTGGTCTCCAGAGAACGTGGTGCGGCTGCGACGCTGCTTCCTCTTAAGCGGTATCCCGGGTTCGGACTCCGTGTCGGACTCATCGCCACTGCTTGGACCTGCGCATCACAGAAATCACAGTGCAGATTGGCAAGAATACCAGACTGACCGCTGGCATCTGTTTCTTTCTCTCTTAAACTCCACCCACTACAGGAAAAGCGGTGCGTCATCGTCAGTTAGTGACTTAACCCTTACGTCATCATTAGAAAGTTACCAGATTCTGTTTACAATGCACCTCGGGCATTCATGTGTCGGTGGGAAATGCAAACAGATTTACACAAGACTTTTCTTTCGTAAGGTTGCCTACACTAGGTGTGACGTAACCTCATTCGTAGACCAGATGGACTCTATCTGTTTCTTCCGTTCAGTCTTTTCTATTTCCTTCAATTCCATGTCTGAAGAGTTAAGCATTCTGGGATATGACGTCATGTAGTCCGTTGAAAAGTCAACCCACGTTTCGGAAGAACATGTCACCTCCATCTTCAGTGTCGAAGAATAAACCGAGCAGGAAACTTGCAGGGCTGCTACCTGCTTCATGCTGGTTTCTTGGTTAGTTTATTCTTTGACCCCTAACATGTATGCGACATGTTCCTCCAAAACGTCGGTTGATTTTCGACAGACTACAAGGTGTTATATCCCAGAAGAGAGAAATCCTCATAACCACGGATATGAGAACCTCGGATCCTGCAACTCCATATTTGTCATGCTCATTTCTAATTTTAATGCGGCAACTCGGCGCATTGGGGAGAGGAGAATTGCATATAGGGCAATAGCTCAAGCGGTTAGTCCTTGGCTTCCCGATCCCGGGTCTGGTCAAATGGGATTTGTGGTGGACAAAGTGGCGCTGGGGCGGGTTTTCTTCGAGTGCTTCGGCTTCCCCTGCCAATCTTCATTCCACCAAATTCTCCATCATCATAATCACCCGGGGCAAGTGCAATAGGCCAATTAGTGACCGCCTTGCCGAGTGAATCCAGTTGGACTCCACCCCCCCACTAAGCGAATTAAAAAAAAATAGAGTATTGGTGGAAAAGCCCGAAGGAAGAAGACCACTGGAAAGACCAAGGCGTAGGTTGGTGAACATTGTTGAAATGGATCTCATGGAGATAGGATGTAATGATATGGATTGGATTAATCTGGCTCTGGATAGGGACCCGTGGAGGGCTCTTGTGAACACGGTAATTAACCTTTGGGTCCCATAAAATGCTGGGAAGTTCTTGAGTAGCTACACAACTGTCAGCTCCATGAGTGTTGAGTGAGTGACAAATGTGCTAAGGCGCCTGAGTGTTCGGTTTAATCTCTTTTCCATGATAAGCCATTTATGGAAACACTCCGATAAATCGTTTTAAAAAGCGAATCCATGTCTTCATTATTGTCGATAACAGAGCACACTGCCGTAGCAACAAAATTTTAGACTCGTATTCGGTAGGTCCTCTGTTCGAACCTTGGGCAGAACATTGGCTGTCATGACTGAGGCTTTAGTTGCTTTCATAAGTACCTTCACGTGGATGGAGGCAGGAGAGCTCAGTGTATAAAGTGACTGTCTAAGGGCTTGGCGACCGAGGGGTAGAAGTTCGAGTCCCGGTAGGGTCAAGAGCTTTCTCTTCTTCACATATTCCAGACCGTCTCTGGGGTCCACCCAACCTATTTACTGGGGGTTCTTTCCCCGGGGGTAAATCGGCCCGGGGCGTGAAGTTGAAAACTCACATCCAACTAGCGCCGAGGTCGAGAAAATGTGGATCTACACATCCACTCATTTTTTACTTTGGTTTCCCCTGCCAATCTTTATTCCAACAATTGCTCCACAATCACCCTCACCTATCATCTGGGGCTGGTACAATAGGCCAGAACTGGCCGCAGTACAAGGGACTTAGTCCCACCCCACTGGCGATAAAAAAATTACACATCCATTCCCCCATAGGTCTTCATGGCGTAGTGCTTAATTAGTTAAGCACAGGGACTTCAACTAATTTTTTTTCCTTGGCACTACAGCCCCAATGGGCCTAGGCCTACCTCCATGAACTTCTCCGTTCACTTCGGTTTTTCTAGATCTTAGACATACGGTAGGATTCCTTGGGCGGGTGAGCAGCTCATCGCAAGGCCTCTACCTGTACACAAACACAGAAAAACGCACACAAACATCCATGCCCTGAGTGGGATTCGAACCCACGATCCCGGCTTCCGAGAGAGCGAAGACAGCGCATGCCTTAGGCCGCTCGGCTACCGTGACCGGCTCACCTTACATTACCTCCACGTAAATTCCGGGATAGTACCGCAATTAGTCCATGGTCGCTGTCTCCCAGAAACTTTCCTATTAACTACTCACCAATAATCCTTCCATCCAGCGTTACATGCAATCCGTGACCGAATTGTAAGACTGTCTTTGGGTTAGTATCAAGATGGCACCGCATGTGTGAACGATACCGTCTTGAGGCTTCTTTATGGCGAAGCTACTTATCGTTCATTAAGTCCAGTTCCTAGTCCCTGTGTACATGAGTTACCGACTCCCTGTGGACACCAAAATGGCGGAGAGGGGAGAGCAAAAAGGCTCCCCCACTGTTAGATTTATTAGCCAGATTCACGCCCTCCTGACATCCATAACTCAAACTGTAATGTAAGTGATATTTCAACTGGAGTCGATTAGCCTATGTAAGGTAATGTGAGTTGACGCTAAGGAGACCTAACTGATTTCAACATCTGTCTCTACTCTGCATTTCCGCCCTTATCCATCTTTACGCAGTCTTCGTCTGCTTACATGTCTAGAGATTAGGGTCTAGAGTCGTATTCCCGTTCGAATCTCAGCCAGGACACTGGAAATTCTGACTGAAGTTTTTAATACTTTTCCTATGCTGTAGCATGGTTGGTTCGATTCCCAATGACTTCATTTGATAATTCAGTTGACTTAATCCTTCCAGCCCCACTGTGGCCTTGTGGTCGACTCAGCGTCTAACAGAAATGAGTACTAGGGATATTCCTGGGGCTAAAGGGCGGCCGGTGTGTAAGGTTGACAACCTCACCGCCATCTGTAAGCCGATTGTCTAGACAATGTTGAAGCCTCGACGTCTCACAACCCTATGAGCCTCCACGGTCTGTTACAAGGATAGCTTTACCTTACCTTTCGCCTCCCAAGTAAATGTACGCGTGGTACCTCAAGTGGGACTCTGAAATGTTCTTCCAGCTCTGTGGTCTAGATAATAATGTGGTAACGTAACGTAAAGTATCACGACATAAGGAAAAGGCACAGAGTAAATTGGGACGCTTGATGGATGAAGAGCCAATAAATAAACCCCGAGTTTCAAACCATAGATTAGCAGAAGAGGAGTAATTTAACATACTGCATGTCCTGCTCCACTTGTCATGTTTTAACTACGTATATTTATTTTTGTTTCATAATTTCGGATAGGATGCCTATTTTCTTTCTTATGTTTCCATCTGTGCTGTGATGCCATTAAGAATTACAACTCAGTAATTGTATAACTTAATATATTATTGTGCCGGTCACGGTAGCCGAGCGGTCTAAGGCATTCACTGTCTTCGCTCGCTCGGAAGCCGGGATCGTGGGTTCGAATCCCACTCAGGGCATGGATGTTTGTGTGCGTTTTTCTGTGTTTGTCTACAGGTAGAGGCCTTGCGACGAGCTGATCACTCGCCCAAGGAGTCCTACCGTGTGTGTAAGATCTAGAAAAACCGAAGTGAACGAAGAAGTTCATGGAGGTAGGCCTAGGCCCACTGGGGCTGTAGTGCCAAGGAAAAAAAATATATTATTGTAGCAGACTACAAAGCGTCATATCCCCCGTGACACAGTAATTTTCACCGAAATCAGATTTATAGAGGAGCAGGCGGGCTCTCACTCACACTCCGATGAGAAAGATATAAGATAATTGTATCTGCATGAATGTAAAAACGAAAGGATACTGATATCCTACGGGTTAGCTTAGTGGTAAGTCCTCGGTTTGAATCTCGGCCGGGATTGTCCTGATTAATGCTTTTTGTGGCTTTCCTCAGTCCCTACAGGTACATGCCGGAATCATACCTGAATTAGTCCAAGGCCACTTTCTTCCTGAATCCTTTCCCAATTATCATTTGTCTGTCATTCTTCCATTCGCTTATGTTAGTCCATAGAGCAGCGGCCTCCGTAGTCTAGGGGTAACGTTCCCACCTCATGACTCAAGGTACGCGGGTTCAAAGCCGGCGGAGATCGTCCCTCCTCCGGGAGGGACTTTAAGCCGTGAGTCCCGTGTCGTAGATTTACGGCACGTAAAAGATCCTCATGTCTCTAGGAGACCTCTGAGCAAAATTAGGCAAGTTTCCTGCCCAAGTAGTTTTCAATGCCTCTGGTAGATGGGGGAAATATCGGGTACCGAGGGCCTACCTCGTTGGCTGAACGGGGCTGATAGCACGCACCAGTACCGGTAGGGTATGGCGACTGGCAGAATATCAAAGGGGGACTACAATAGGCTATTAGTCGCGGTGCACGGGGAAACCCACCCCCTCCAATAATAATAACTAAAAAACAATACCAAATACTGGAATAAACGCCTCAAGAAGTCAAAAGACAACCGCTTCCAGAATGTAACGTGAAAATAAAAGGTAAAGATATCCCTGTTACAGGCTGCGAAGGCACATAGCGTTGTGAGACGTCGAGGCTACCACATATTCTAGACTATCGGATCACCGATAGCGGTGAGGTTGTCAGCCTTGCGCGCCGGCCGCCCTTTACGCCCAGCAAGATTCCTGGTACTTATTTTTCTTAGAGGCTGAGTCGACCTTAGTGCCACAGTGCGGCTAGAATGGTTAGGTCAACTGAAAAAATCAAATGACCTCATCGGGAATCGAAACCGTGACATTCCGGCTTGTAACATAGTGCCACATTCGTGTGACAGCGTGTGTGGGCTGCCCGACATGATTGAAACTTTTCCCAGAAGTGTAAAGAGTAGGAGGTGGATTGGGGAATAAATGTGGAGAACACAGTGAAGCAACAAATAAAGAGCGGGATATTAAGAAGAAAGAAAATTGAAGGAAAAGTATATTAAACGAAAACAAGAAACTAGAGGGAAATACA